ATTTTTTAAGGACGAGCTTAAGTACTTAGATCACGTAGTAAGTAAGGATGGCATCTATACGGATCCAGACAAGGTCGCAGCTGAGAAGGACATGAAGACCCCGGCAAACACGCGTGAGTTACGTCGCTTCCTAGGCGTAGCGTCCTGGTACCGACGATTCGTACCAGGTTTTTCGCGCATTGCCCACCCGCTCACCGCGCTACTAAAGAAAGCAAGCCATTTCAGTGGCCGCATGAGCAACAGGCAACTTTCGAAGACCTGAAAAGAGCACTAACAGAAGCCCCAGTACAGGCGTGCCCTGACTTTACGAATAGGTTCATACTGCAGACAGACGCCAGTGACTAAGGCTTGGGGGTGGTGCTCACCCAAGAAATCGATGGAGAAGAGCGAGTGATCTCCTATGCCAGCCGCCACCTTAACAAGGCGGAATGCAACTAGTCGCCGATAGAGAAAGAAAGCCTAGCCGTTGGGTGGGCGATTCGGAGAATGAGGCCGTACCTGGAGGGGTACGCATTTACGGTGATAACGGACCACTTATCTCTAAAGTGGTTAAACGCGATCGAGAGTCCGTCCGGTAGAATCGCGAGGTGGGCATTGGAGCTGCAGCAACACTCGTTCGACGTACAGTATAGAAAAGGAAAGCTGAACGTAATTGCGGACGCTCTCTCACGAGAGCCCCAAGGGGAGAACTGGGGATCATTAACCAAGAGTGCCAGACGGAAGAACCCTGCCAATGGCTAGAGGAGAAGATAAGGGAGGTAAGGGCTAACCCCATTAAATTTCCAGACTACACGGTGGAAGACGGATAACTATATAGGCACCTCCCTGCCTACGCGGATGGCGAAGGCTCCATCCCGTGGAAGTTGTGCGTAGCGAAGAATGTGAGGAAGCGGGTGCTACGCGAAGTCTACGACACACCCAGCGCTGGCCACAAGGGCATACGAAAGACTATCGCAAGAGCTATCGTACGATCTTACTGGCCAGGCATGTTCCGTGATGTGCGGAAATACGTGAAGGGGTGTAAGTCGTGCCAAATTTATAAACCAAACCAGCAGCAAGCCGCGGGGAAGATGTTGACCCAACTTGCGGACGAGCCTTAGCTATTTGATGAGCCGACTTCATCGGGTCGCTGCCGCGATCAAAACACGGCAACACAATGATACTCGTATTCCATGACAAATTCTCTAAATTGCTGGAGATTGTACCACTCCGGAGAGTGACGACAGAGGGCCTGAGTAAGTCTTTCCGGGAGCGAATCCTCGCGCGATTCGGCGTTCCGAAAGTTCTGGTGACGGATAACGGACCGCAATTCACCAGTCGAGCGTTCAAGCGGTTCCTCGAGCCATATGGGGTAAAGCACCAATCCACTGCTTCTTATACCCCGCAAGAAAACCCGACAGAGGGAACGAACCGTAATGTAAAACGGATCATAGCACAATTAACAGACGAGCAACCACGGAACTGGGACGGCCTGCTACCAGAAATTATGTTAGCACTGAATACTAGCGTCTGCGAATCCACCGGCTACAGCCCGGCAATCCTAACACAAGGACGCGAGCCGAGACTCCCAAGGGCAGTCTACGATGAGACCACGTTCGGCACAGGGCAGAACTCAACGACGCCAAACGAGAAGGCCACATCACTAAAGGAAGTATTCAGTCTGGTGCGCCAAAACCAACAGCGGGCATCTGCGGAACAGGCACGGCACTATAACCTACGGAGGAGGCAATGGAGACCAGCTATAGAAGATCTGGTGCTACTGAGGGAGCACCTACAATCGAAAGCAGTAACAAACTTTGCGGCGAAGTTGGCCCCGAAGTATAGCAGGCCGTACACGGTAAGAAACTTCCCTTCACCAGTTATAGTGGAGATGGAAAGATACGGAAAGACGAGGACAGCCCACATAAGCGAACTAAGGGTTTTTACGAGAGGCGAGACGAACTTCCCGGAAGCAGCAAACAAACAACCCCCCAGCGAAAATACGAAGAACCGAAACAAAGACACAGAGGCAAAGGAAGGAAATATAATTAAGAGAAGTTTTAGGAGCGAAGGAGTAGATAAACAAGCAATCATAAGGAAGATTTCAGAGAAGAATTACAGAGGGCAAACGATATATGAGGGAAAAATTTGCGTAGGAAATGCTATAGAAAAAAAAACTGAAGTCTTAGAGAAAATTCTTAAAGGAAAATTTATGAGAAATGAAATTTAAGGAAAAAAAACAAAAACGAGGAAAATATGAAAAATCCCGAATCATCTCAGGGAAATAGGAAAAAAAGAAACAAAATCAAAATTTCGAAGTTTTTAGAACTTTTTTTTAAGGAAATTTTAAGGCAGAGAAAACAAAAATGTTAAGNCGAATCATCTCAGGGAAATAGGAAAAAAAGAAACAAAATCAAAATTTCGAAGTTTTGAGAACTTTTTTTTAAGGAAATTTTAAGGCAGAGAAAACAAAAATGTTAAGCAAAAGCTCTGTTATGGATTTTTTTGGAATATATTCAAAAAGAAAGCTTGAGAATTTTTTTTGATTATTTTTCTGAAATTTTATAAGTAAAACTTTTTTTAAAACAATGCAACTTTGAAAGAAAAACGGAGAAAACTCAGGAAAATTTTTACGAACAACTTACGAGCGGGGAAAAAAATAAGTCAAGAAAGTTTTGAAGGAAAAATTTCAGAAATATAATTTAAAAAAAAGTTTTTAAGAAGGAAAAAATAAGGAAGTTATTATATGTACATATTTCTTAACACACTTAAACATGAATTACAAAAAAAAAAAAGAAAAAACTAATCTGCAAAATTTTTATTTATCAACTGTTGGTCACTGTAGCTAAAAATTTAGAACCAAATCAACACAGCAACAAACACACAAGATATGCAATACAGGCAACGGCAAAGTGGCGTGACCCAGCTGCGTAAACAAGCATGCGTGGAAAAGGAATGCATAAAAACCCACCAAGCACAACAGCGACATACATACAAACGTATATACATACATACATACACACCAATGCACAAACAATGGCACAGCATTAGCAATCTAGGCAACGGAAAAGTGGCGTGTTCCAGCGCGTAAACAAACAAGCGTGCAAAGGGAAAACGCAAACAAGATACCGTCGGCATATGTTCATACATGCATACCTATATGCACAGGCACGAAAACAAAGGCACAGGACCAAACACTGCGGGCACAAGCAAGGGGGTGCGATCAGGCGCGCAAACAAATTAGCACGCCGCCTACGCAAAATGCATTAGAACAAACATGGGGCGACAAATGTACATGCATACCCACCCCAATCCTAGGGCTTGGAGCCCCACAACATATACATGTAATATTTTGAATTGCTCATAAAATATATATAAACAATTGTATATAGCTGTTCAGTAATACATACTTTGAATTGTAGCCACATATTTTACAGCACTAAGTGATTTGAACTACCGTTATTATGCATATAATCATATATTTACAATTGCACATATACTTTAAGCACGATGGCAATAAAGAACAAAGCGCAAAGGACAACGGGACATACGCGATGCGACTGCGGCCGGCACTTTGTATAAATAGCCGGCCAGCAATCAAAGCAGACAGGACAGCTATAGAACTTAGCTAGGTATTTAGAGACGGGCGGGTTCTACTTCCTCTCTTGAAAAGTTGTGGGTAGGTTCTACTCCCGTTCCTTTACTTTAGCCGTAATTATATTTGGTGGGACGGAGCTACGCCCACCAATCGGAGAGTAACGGGTAGGTTCTATAATATCAATACATAAAGCATGGGCCAAATATAGTAAAATCGCGTGTTCAGTTTTAAAAAATATGATTAAGTCAAAAACAGATAAAAAAAATTCAGTTCAATGTAATGAAAAACCAGTATGGGTATCAAATTAAAGAGAAAATTCTGTAGAGTTAAAAGAGATAAAATATTTTCTTGCATAAGGACGGGTAGGTATTGAAAATGCCCCCGAATATCGTCCTTCCAACTTTATTATCCTAAAAAATAAAATTTATTAAAAGGACATGTTCAATACCTATATATTTTTCATAGTGAACCCTTACTTTTTTAATTTTTCAACATTTTCTCTTTTATTTGCCACCCATATTTTTATTCTATATTGCACTGAATTTTTTAAATAATATTCGGAATTAATCTCCCGCCGGGTACCTTTTCTTCGACATCTGGGAAAACACGTATTGGTACAAATAAGTTCCACATAAAACAAAAATTAGGACAATATATCTCAGAATTATAAAAATTATATAAAACTCACCGTATTTATAAAATGCAAGCAGATATTGAGAATATCTACATACTATCTAGTTACGAACAAAATGGCTATTGAAATGCATACTTTTTTTGCACCTTTTGTCCTGCCAGATCGCCGAAATTTCTAAACATGTGCTCGCAAACTTGGTCAGTGGTACCAGATATAACAGAGTAAATATATTTTTGGGGACGATTTTTATCATAAATAAACCCCAGAACATATATAGGGACAATTCAGTTGGAAGTTTTCAGGCGTAGCGAAGAATGTGTGTGTGTGTGTCATTACCCAAGAGTGCCAGACGGAAGAACCCTGCAAATGGCTGGAGGAGAAGATAAGGGAGGTAAGGGCTAACCCCATTAAATTTCCAGACTACACGGTGGAAGACGGTTAGCTATATAGGCACCTCCCTGCCTACGCGGATGGCGAAAGCTCCATCCCGTGGAAGTTGTGCGTAGCGAAGAATGTGAGGAAGCGGGTGCTACGCGAAGTCCACGACACACCCAGCGCTGGCCACATGGGCATACGAAAGACTATCGCAAGAGCTACCGCACGATATTACTGGCCAGGCATGTTCCGTGATGTGCGGAAATACGTGAAGGGGTGTCAGTCGTGCCAAATTTATAAACCTAACCAGCAGCAAGCCGCTGGGAAGATGTTGACCCAACTTGCGGGCGAGCTTTAGCTTTTTGATGCGCCGACTTTATCGGGTCGCTGCCGCGATCAAAACACGGCAACACAATGATACTCGTATTCCATGACAAATTCTCTAAATTGCTGGAGATTGTACCACTCCGGAGAGTGACGACAGAGGGCCTGAGTAAGTCTTTCCGGGAGCGAATCCTCGCGCGATTCGGCGTTCCGAAAGTTCTGGTGACGGATAACGGACCGCAATTCACCAGTCGAGCGTTCAAGCGGTTCCTCGAGCAATATGGGGTAAAGCACCAATTCACTGCTCCTTATACCCCGCAAGAAAACCCGACAGAGGGAACGAACCGGATCATAACACAATTAACAGACGAGCAACAACGGAACTGGGACGGCCTGCTACCAGAAATTATGCTAGTACTGAATACTAGCGTCTGCGAATCCACCGGCTACATCCCGGCATTCCTAACACAAGGACGCGAGCCGAGACTCCCAAGGGCAGTCTACGATGAGACCACGTTCGGCACAGGGCAGAACTCAACGACGCCAAACGAGAAGGCCACATCACTAAAGGAAGTATTCAGTCTGGTGCGCCAAAACCAACAGCGGGCATCTGCGGAACAGGCACGGCACTATAACCTACGGAGGAGGCAATGGAGACCAGCTATAGAAGATCTGGTGCTACTGAGGGAGCACCTACAATCGAAAGCAGTAACAAACTTTGCGGCGAAGTTGGCCCCGAAGTATAGCAGGCCGTACACGGTAAGAAACTTCCCTTCCCCAGTTATAGTGGAGGTGGAAAGACACGGAAAGACGAGGACAGCCCACATAAGCGAAATAAGGGTTTTTACGAGAGGCGAGACGAACTTCCCGGAAGCAGCAAACAAACAACCCCCCGCGAAAATACGAAGAACCGAAACAAAGATACAGAGGCAAAGAAGGAAATATAATTAAGAGAAGTTTTGGGAGCAAAGGAGTAGATAAACAAACAAACTTGAGGAAGATTTCAGAGAAGAATTACAGAGGGCAAACGATATATGAGGGAAAAATTTGCGTAGGAAATGCTATAGAGAAAAAAACTGAAGCCTTAGAGAAAATTCTTAAAGAAAAATTTATGAGAAATGAAATTTAAGGGAAAAAAACAAAAACGAGGAAAATATGAAAAACCCTGAATCATCTCAGGGAAATAGGAAAAAAAAGAAACAAAATCAAAATTTCGAAGTTTTCAGAACTTTTTTTTAAGAAAATTTTAAGGCAGAGAAAACAAAAATGTTAAGCAATAGCTCTGTTATGGATTTTTTGGAATATATCTGTGTTCGTATGGAAAAGTAGCTTATGTCGAAAGGCTGGCTTTAGAATAAATCGGCATTCGCAGCATACGATTNCAGAACTTTTTTTTAAGAAAATTTTAAGGCAGAGAAAACAAAAATGTTAAGCAATAGCTCTGTTATGGATTTTTTGGAATATATTTAAAAAAAAAAAGTTTGAGAATTTTTTTTTGATTATTTTTCTGAAATTTTATAAGTAAAACTTTTTTTAAAACAATGCAACTTTGAAAGAAAAACGAAGAAAACTCAGGAAAATTTTTACGAACAATTTACGAGCGGGGAAAAAAATAAGTCAAGGAAGTTTTGAAGGAAATATAATAGAAATATAATTTAAAAAAAAGTTTTTAAGAAGAAAAAAATAAGGAAATTATTATATGTACATTTCTTAACACACTTAAACATGAATTACACAAAAAAAAGAAGAAAACAATTTAGATCCAAATCAACACAGCAACAAACACACAAGATATGAAATACAGGCAACGGCAAAGTGGCGTGACCCAGCTGCGTAAACAAACCAAACACAACAGCGACATACATACAAACGTTTGAGGGACCCAATCCTAGGGCTTGAAGCCCCACAACATATACATATAATATTTTGAATTGTTCATATAATATATATAAACAATTGTATATAGCTGTTAAGTAATACATACTTTGAATTGTAGCCACATATTTTACAGCACTAAGTGATTTGAACTACCGATATTATGCATATAATCATATATATACAATTGCACATATACTTTAAGCACGATGGCAACAAAGAACAAAGCGCAAAGGACAACGGGACATACGCGACGCGACTGCGGCCAGCAATCAAAGCAGACAGGAGTTGTCAGGCGACTGCTGCAGAGTCAGGAGCTTTTGCACACATAGTGTAGATTCTACTCCCTATGTTAGGTATCAGGAGACGGGCAGGATCTTCTCCCACTCCTATAGAACTTAGCTAGGTATTTAGAGACGGGCAGGTTCTACTCCCTCTCTTGAAAAGTTGTGGTTAGGTTCTACTCCCGCTCCTTTACTATAGCCGTAATTATATTTGGTGGGACGGAGCTACGCCCACCAATCGGAGAGTAACGGGTAGGTTCTATAATATCAATATATTCAAATATAGTAAAATCACGTGTTCAGTTTTAAAAAATATGATTAATTCAAAAACAGATACAAAAAATTCAGTTCAATGTAATGAAAAACCAGTATGGGTATCAAATTGAAGAGAAAATTCTGTAGAGTTAAAAGAGATAAAATATTTTCTTGCATAAGGACGGGTAGGTATTGAAAATGCCCCCGAATATCGTCCTTCCAACTAAATTATCCTAAAAAATAAAATTTATTAAAAGGGTTTTGTACTTTAAACGGCGACATGTATGACAATTTATGGGAATTTACTCCCATAAATTCAGAATAAAAAGATTAATACTAGAAAATACAAATAAAATAACTAATTTATTCTTATTGGTTTCCGTCTAATTTCATTAAAATGAAATAGTTGATAAACGTCATTTTCGATAATCAGTGAAGCCAAAAAGTCCGTCATGGACGTCCGAGGTCGGGTTTTTTTATCAGCTTCAGTTTAGAAATGACGTTTCTGCTGAACTGTTAGTGACTATTAAAAAAAGGTACATTCGTAGTGCAAATTCTTCATTTGGGAAGCAATCTTTGACGTTACAGTCAAACAAAAGTTTGTACATCCATATATCTTCGCTAACAAATTCTTGATTGTTTTCATAGTCCGGTTGAAACTGCATGCACTAATTTTTATTTGTATTACCTCATTCCGTAATATTTCTTTAACAATTTTTTAATCTAATTTTCTTTTATTTATTAGTTACTGTTATTTTAAAAAGAAAAACGTTTTATTTGATTTAATAATGAATAATGAGTTACAATCACTAATTAAAATTAGAAATAAGTTCTAAAAATTAAAGGAAAAAAACGTATTGCTAAAAGGCGAACAGCATAACGCTAAGTCCTCCTCGTTAGCAGATCTTTCAAATAGTCTTTCAAAACACAGTAACGAGATTTCATGATAGTTGACAAGTGAATAACGTTGGAAGCGAAAATTTTCTTAATACTAGTTTCTTAAACTTTAACGATAATTAAATATCGAACCCTAACCGCCAAAATAACTGTAAGAGTAAGTTTCTCGGGATTAGATAGAGAAGCAAAGCGAGTGGGTCTGGTGGTGAACGACGAAAAAACGAAATATCTCCTGTCATCACACAAAGAGTCAGAGCATACGCGTCTTGGCATACATGTCGCTATTGACAGTTACAAATTTGAGAAAGTAGATGACTTCGTTTATTTGGGAACCAGTATTAACACTTGAGATCCAACGGAGAATCACTCTTGCCAACAAGTGCTACTTTGGACTGAGTAGGCAATTGAGAAGTAAAGTCCTCTCGTCGTACAAAAACCACATTCTATAAGCCATTCATCATGCCTGTGCTGCTATATGGCGCGGATACATAGGCAATGAAAACATCTAATGAAGCGGCTCTTGGAGTTTTCGAGAGAAACAAAAGAAATGATGCAAATTGTAAAAACCAGTAGCCAAATGATGTTGTGCTAAGAGAAAAGTTATTGTGAAATGTGATTTAATTTATATATTAACTGTGAGTTTATGTACGTGAATGTTATTGTATAATGTAATTATGATTTGCAATGTATATTGTAGGTTAATGTTATTCATGTTTATTGTTTATTTATTGTTCAAATATAGACTCCCTGAAGAAGGCGCGGAAAAAAGCGCCGAAACGCGTAGGAGGGAAAAGGATATCGTATTTTCGCTTTTATTTCGCCGGCCGAAGTAGCTCCAACCGAACGAAAAAATTTTACAAGAATTTTGCCCAAACAACAAACTGAAACAAATATCGGTGAGTAGATCCGAATAACACTACGAGCATTAAAGAGCAATAAACATGAAACAATTTTACCAACATATTAAACTAAAATATGATGAAGAGACAGGTTTTATAATCAAACAATACAACAAAAACATGAAAAAATTAACTAAACAGGAAGAAAGGTTAAAGTTTTTACTAAGACGTAAAGAATACGGTATCACTCCGCCACATCTACAGGTAAGAACAAGAAATTGATTCCCCGTTTTAAACTAGAAACTACCCTGCGAGAACTTAAGAAAATAGAACAGTGCTTTTTACTTGAAATTATGAATTTAGAATTAAAAGAGACCAATATCAACGTCAAAATTATAAAAGCAACTACAAGACACACTGATGATATATTGAAAAGGCGACTTCAAGAAGTAGACTACGAAAAAGTAATAGAATGTCAGAAACAGCTCTCGAAACAAATCTCTAAAAATACACAAAAAATACATGACAAAAAACTTAAAGAACAAATTTCAATAAACGTTACAAAATTTGGTATTAGGGTAAACGAAGACTGATTTGTTAACAAAACGAACATCACAGTGCCCCAGGAATCCCGATGGTTGCTCTCACTTGGAAGAAAATTTGCACTGCGCGTTTCCAGGAAATCTTTTTCGCCTATATGTGTAATCGCAGATTTAGAACAAGGCATACAAAAAGACGCAGCAAGAAGCAATATTGCACTTAAAATAAAGATTCCATGACAAGTTAAACAATAACTCGAAAGAAAAATTTATACTAAAAACACATGCAGACACTAAAAAATTCATAAACCAGCACAAAGATCAGATAATAATAACCCAAGCAGACAAAGGAAACAAAACGGTAATGATTTACAAAAGCAATTACGATCATAAAATGAGAGAAATGTTCAATGACAGAACGACGTACAAAACCATAAAGAGTGAACCCACGCAACAATTATTACGAAGAAATAATATGATAGTTAACGACCTATACAAGCAGAAGAAAATTGATACCAAACAGAAATTATACTTAACTTGTGCAGCGGCAACTTCGCCGCGACTACATGGACTGCCAAAAATTCACAAGCCAAATACGCCTCTCAGACCAATTTCTTCATCTACTAATGTACCGTGCTATAAAGTATCTAAATTCATAGGAAATATTTTAAAGCATATAACATCAGAGAAATACAATATTAACAACTCATTTCAATTAAAAGAAAACCTCCAAAGTATCAGAATAGAAGACGATGAAAGCTTAATATTGTTCGACGTAATTTTGTTATTTACAAATATTCCGATTTATTTGGCTATTCGAACGATCATGGAAAAATGGGACAAGTTGGAAAATTACACCAACATGACTGAAAAACAATTCCAGACGGTGCTAGATTTTTGCTTACGGGAAAACAATTATTTTAAATACAACAATACCTTTTACCAAATATTAGACGACAGCATAGCCGAATTGAAACAAAAAGACATACGTATCATATACATAAACAAATATGTAGATGATATGTTTGCTATCATCAAAATAAAGGACGCGGAGGAAATATTGACAACTCAAAATGCACAACACAACAAAATTAAATTTACCTCGGAGAAAGAAAACAATAACAAAATAGCATTTCTGGATGTAGAATTACACAGAAAAAATAACAACATATGGTTTAACTGGTATTTCAGATCTATTTCGTCGGGTAGATTAATAAATTTCCATTCGAATCATCCGTGGANTAAAGGACGCGGAGGAAATATTGACAACTCAAAATGCACAACACAACAAAATTAAATTTACCCCGGAGAAAGAAAACAATAACAAAATAGCATTTCTGGATGTAGAATTACACAGAAAAAATAACAACATATGGTTTAACTGGTATTTCAGATCTATTTCGTCGGGTAGATTAATAAATTTCCATTCGAATCATCCGTGGAAACAAAAAATAAAACCTGCGACTGGACTCATTAGAAAAATAAACATACTCAGCGACAAAAAATTTGCGAAATATAACGACAAGAAAATATGAAACATACTATAAAAAAACAGCTACCCTAATGGCCTTATTGACAATCTAATAGAGAGGACAGTGAACAAGAATCACCGACAAAATCAAAACACCAGAGTTCACCCAGAAAGCACAAACAAAAAATACATCGGCATTAAATACATACCAGGACTAACAAACAACCAAACACTACGAAAAATAATAAGAAATGACAAAATAATATATGCTCACAAGCCACATAATACGCTTGACAGAATATTCACAAAACCGAATTACAAGATTGAGAGGGAGCAGCAAAGCGATGTAGTCTATGGAATTAAATGCAATGGCAATGGAAATGAAAACTGCAACAAATGCTACGAATAAATGAACATAAAACGGATGCGCGAAACAAGAAGATGGCAACAGCGCTGGATCAACACTTAACTAAAAACGAATACACAGCTGACTTTAACAACACGAGGATTCTGGATATCGAAAGAGGAGAATAGACGAGAATGCCGCTAGAAAGCCTCCGCATACAACAACAACTGGATTACGTGATGAACTTCAAGGAAGACGTTGACAACACTAACAACGCTTACGCAGCAGTAATAAGAGACAAATATATATAATTGTGAAAACAAATGTAATTATGCAAATTGTAAAAACCAGTAGCCAAATGATGTTGTGCCAAGAGAAAAATTATTGTGAAATGTGATTTCATTTATATATTATCTGTGAGTTTATGTACGTGATTGTTATTGTGTAATGTAATTATGATTTTCAATATATATTGGAACACTTATGTATGTAGGTTAATGTTATTCATGTTTATTGTTTATTTATTGTTCAAATATAGACTCCCTGAAGAAGGCGCAAAAAAAGCGCCGAAACGCGTAGGAGGGAAAAGGAAAACGTATTTTCGCTTTTATTTCAACGGCCGAAGTAGCTCCAACCCAATTTTATGCTAAGATTTTTAATAAGAGCATAGTCATGCGTAAGCTCTTCACAGAAAAAAAAGCGTGAGTACTAGGTACTCATGAAATTTGATGTGTAAACATATGCGAACGGCAAAGCATAAAAGCACGTTTACATATAAATATAATCTAATCAAAGCTCGTTGTGCTTGTTAACACCTATTTTCCTTACTAGGGTCAATTTTTGTTTACTTTAACATTTGACATTCCTCCTCTTCTTCGCACGTATAATCGATAAAACTATTTTGGACACCAAAAAGTTATGGGTTTAATCTAAGATATTTTTAATTATAATTTTCCATGGCTAATCTCTTTTTCTAATAAAAGATTAGAGAGTTAAGCTCGAAAATTAGGATAATCTTTTTATATGTAAAGCTTTTATTAGGCGATTCAGTTACATACATACAAATGCAGGTTAGGTTAGAAATTAAACATTAATTTCACTTAATTTTATTCATTTTGCTGATAAAATTTTTTTATTCATTTTCATTTTTAATTATTTTAATACATGAAATTATCGGTATGATTGATAAAATATACTTGGATATACTTGTCACTCAAGGGCGTTGAAATATCTTGGAAACACCGCATCAGTTATTGTTTTTGAGCTTATAGTTTGAGCATTTCTATTTGTATATATTCCTAAATTTAGTTTTTTTTCGGGATATAATCTGTGGTTAATGTAAATGCAGTTCATTTTACAGGATTTTACCCGATGCTTTTTTAAATGATTTCAGTATTTTTTTAAATTTTCGTCTTGCTTTTTTATCCAAATAGACAACTAAACCATCTACGAATATCAAAATGCATGAGCGGAGTTTAAATAATCGGAAGTAATAATCAATTGGAGCGCATTTCCTCTTACTATGCATATGCCTAAATGTATGCAACCATTTGGCAAGCAAACACAGGATGCTTCTAATGAAAATAAAAATTGTATGCTGAAATACACATGCTAAGCCCTTCGAAATTTTGTGCTGGGATATGTAGGGTTCGAAATTTCAGACTTGGGTATCGATACTGAGTACTCATTCTGGCATCGAGCTCATGGTATCGATACTCTAAAAGTATCAGGGAAAAAGTATCGATACTACTCAGTATCGGACTCATTAAAATAAGTTCTTTCAGATACTAAAATTATTTTATTCTTCAATCATATGTCTAGTTATTTACTTAAATTAAAACAATAGAAATTTAAATTATTTTATTTTTATTTCATTGCAGAAATTACTTCCATGTTGGAAGTAATTTTAACGTTAAATGTACATACATACATATATACTTCCACGAATTTCAATTCTTATTCAGAATTTTTATAAACTTTTTGGGTATCAATTTTAGTATTATAATGTGCAAGTTTGAATTAAAAGTCAACGGTAGTAGGTTACACGTAAAGTTGAATAGGTTACAAAACTGCATACCCAAAAAGTTTATAAACCTTTTGAATTTTCGTGAATTTTGATAAAGTTTTAAACTTTAACTTATTTGGTTTATGTTATGGAATCAACTATATTTTTATAAAAAAGTAAACGAAAAAATGTTTCACGTACATCGCAAGATATAGATATGTAATACAAAATTTGCCTCGAAATCTTGGAGTTTACAAAAGTTCAGTTATAAACATTAAAAAGTTTTAAAACCACTCTTCCTCTGGCCGTGCTGCTAAGAAAAGCAACTCTTGTAATCTAGACGGGCTTAATCGGTTCCTTTCAGTAGTTATTGTTGCACCGGCTTTCGAAAATAACCTCTCTGATGGAATAGAAGTTGCGACGATTGCTGCGTGTTTTCGGAACTGACTGTAAAGCCCTGGAAAAACCTCTTTCATGTGTTCCCAGGTCTCGATTGGATTCGACTTTAATGGAGTCACGGGATTTTTTAAATATAAAGCTATTTCATCGCCGTTTCTCCCATGTCCTTTTTTTCGGCCCTTTTGGGCTAATTCTTTATGATGTGACCAAAAATCCAGTTCACCAGAAGCGTTACCATCACTTTCACTTTCAGATGACGTAACAGATGGCGGAACAGCGATTGCAGATTTTAATAAAGCGATTGTCCTTCCGCAGGCTTCAGCGCTTCTGAAGTGTAGGTTCTTGAACCGTGGGTCAAGCATTGTGCTGATTGCTATAATAGGAACGTGTTCAATTTGACCAAACCGATATTGTATTTGATCCGGCAGAACTTTTTTGGCAGCAGCACACACAGGTGCATTTTCTTCTAAAGCGCTAACTTGGGTCACCAAACAATTTATGAGTGGTATAACCTTCGAAATCGTAACATATTTCTCACCAGACAGCTCTCTAGTGATGAATTCTAATGGTTTAAGAATATTCAGCAGCTCTTTGATATTATTTAATTCAGCGGCAGACAACATATGTGGAGCGTACAAATCCTTTAGTAGAATGGGTGAGATGAATGGTGCCAATTCCACGAATCGCTGCATCATGTAGAAGCATGAATTCCATCGGGTTTTAACATCCAAAATTACCTTTTTGGGATTTGCTTGCGCCTTTTTTAAAGTGGCTGTTGCTAAAACGCTTTTTTTAAAAAACTTAACAATTTCTCTAACTTTCTGTACAAGTTCAGGCATGCCACTTGTCGCCTCCACCTTCTCGGCTACAAGGTTTATGGTATGGGCAAAACATGGTAAATGTTTCTTGCCGTCGCCAAATAGAACTTTTACCGCTGCCACCATATTGGCTCCATTGTCTGTCAACACTGCCATAATGCTACTTTTGTCCACACCCCAATCAGCGAATAAATCTGTGAGCTTTGAGCAATATAGTGACCTAGTTTAAAAATAAAAATTTATATTATATATTTATTTTATGTAGAGTCTGATGCACATGTTGAAAAAAGCTGTACCTGTGTGTCTATCCTCCAACTCTACGGTAGCGATGTAGGCATATTTCAGACAATCGCCTTCTAAATAATGTAGGGTCACTCCTAAAAAACTGGTCATGCTCATCGTTTCAGTCCATATGTCGCTGGTCACACAAAAAAAGTTATGCTTTTTAAGGTTCTTCACCAAAGCTATTTTCAACGCATTGTACTTCTCAGTCATCAAGGATTTCAAAGTATTGTCTGAGGGCATACGGTACTGAGGTGCCAATTGTTTTATCAATTTCAGAAATCCACGATTTTTTACAGTATAGAATGGCTTATAATCAGCACAAATAAAATACAATAATAGCAGCGTGTCGCGAACCACCTTCTTTATTAGCAGCGCCCAACTCAAAACCGCGAGCGATTGGATTTGGAATTGGTTGCATATCTGCGATCTGCTCAACAAGTTGCGGTTGAGTTGGGCTGAAAATGAAGTTGTGAGCATAAATCAGGCAAAATTTAAGGTATAGGGATTTACCATTCGGAGTCTGAGTTCCGCTCGAAAGTTAAATGAGGGTGACTTGCCTTTAAGTGTTTCATCATATTCGATGTATTGCCACAAAACTTGTAAACCTTGAAGCAAATTTTGCACTTCGCGCTTGTTTTGTCGATTTTATCAGCGTATTTCCACACTGTGCTCATTTTTAAGTTAATTTTAATACCACAAGGAACTCTGCCACAGACTCCACGAAATTTCAGTTTATTTATAGTGATGCACAAAATTGAATGATAGTAATCGCTATAAGTAAAGAAAATTGGGTTGCCAATGAAAGAAAAAAAATTAAAAAGGTGTTTTTTTAGTACTCGATCCTACGAGTACTTTGAAAAGTATCGAGTAAAATCACCAAATAAGGTATCGAGTATTAAAGTACTCATTTTTGTACCCTCAGTATCGATACTTACTCAGTATCGATAGTATCGTTCGAACCCTAGGGATATGTGTTACAGCTTCGCAAATTTTAACCCTACCGAAACCAAAGATGTGTACACATCAAAAATATATTCTTTGAAATGATATGTTGGTTTGGCGTTTCTTGTTTTCATATAGATAGTAGAGAACTACCGAACAATAAAATTAAACACAGTGTGTCCCTGCGGTATTCCAGAAAAAAACAATTTTTTTAAACAAAAATTCAAAAATGCTAAATTTTAGTGGAATGAATAAAAAATATATGTTAAAAGAGGTTAATTTTTATTATTGATGTGTATACATCTTTGGTTTCGGTAGGGGTAAAATTTACAAAGCTGTAACGCATATCCCAGCACAAAATTTCGAAGGGCTTAGCATGTGTATTTCAGCATACAATTTTTATTTTCATTAGAAGCACCCTGCGTTTGCTTGCTATTGTAAATGGTTGCATACATTTAGGCATATGCATAGTAAGAGGAAATGCGCTACAATTGATTATTACTTCCGTTTATTTAAACTCCGCACATGCATACGGCTTTGTACCTATGTATGTACATAAATATGTATGCACTCATTTGTTGCAACTGGACATGAATTACGTAACTTTGAAACGATAGTCGTTCAAACGATACTGTCAAAACGATGTTACTGTTACTGTTACGTGAAGCAAAACTGGAATCGAGTTGACGATATCGCACAAACGATCAAACAATTTTTGATTTTTATGAAGCAAGACAATCTCGACACGATATCGTTCAGACGATTGTCGTCATACGTGACTCATGCCCTGGTTTTGATATTCGTAAATGGTTATAGGCATAGGTTTAGTAGTCTATTTTGATAAAAAAGCAAGGCGAAAAGTTAAAAAAATATTGAAATCATTTTAACTGGGACCTTTGATAACTGATGAACATACATGAATATATGTATGTATAATATGCATATGTTTGGATGATATAATAGCTCCGATCCAACACTTTTCGTGTAAAACCCTGGAAAAAGGTCAAACAGCAAAATCACTCTTTGAAGTGAGAGTAAAAAGTGAGTAACAGCAAAACGTACGGAACAAAAAAGCATCGGGTAAAATCCTGCAACTTCAACCTCTACACAACTCTCCCAAAAATCGCTCTCATTTACATGAACCACAGATTATATTCCGAAAAGAAAAACTAAATTTAGGAATATATACAAATAGAAATGCTCAAACTATAAGCTCAAAAACAATAACTGATGCGGTGTTTCCAAGATATTTTAACGCCCTTGAGTCACAAGTATGTACAAGTATCACTTTTTATTAATCATACCGCAGACATGGGCACTTTTGCCCGTATAGGCTTTTTTGCCCGTATGGGCAAGCGAGCCCATTTCTCGGGCTGGATCAGGGGAAAATCATGGGCAAACGGGAAGGGGGCAGCAAATCTTACTAATACACGTATAGCAATGAGAGCCACTGCACACGCATTCTGGAGTAAAAAGGCTCACTCTCCCAAACGTATGCCACATACACTCCTCGTCATTTGAATAGCTCAACTTTTTAATCTTTAGTATTTACACTTTTAATTTTAAAGATTAAAAAGTTGAGCTATTCAAATG